ATAGTTGTTAAGTATGTCTTCAGAAAATATTTATATATGTATATATAAATAAATATTTCACATATAAAGCAAAAATCCTACTGCCAGCCAGCATACACAAAAACGCCAGGGTAAGCAATAAAAAGTGCTTGTTTTTTAAAAAGTCAAATTGCAATCACAGCATTTTAAGTAATGCTATACAAATTGCTATATACTGTAGGTTGCATTTCTCAGCCTAAACAGTACTAAAAGTTGCAACTAAGGGCAAATATAAAGACACTTGTTTAGAATGCAAAGGCTTAGTCAGTATTATAAACAATATGGCAATCTGCATAGCATTACATATAATGCTTTGTAATGTCATTTTGACTTCATATATTGATTTCCACATAAATGAACAGGCTTGACTATAGCCCTATTAATTTCAATTTTTATAAAAAGAAAAGAAAAATGTTGAGAAAACATCTATCAAATACACTGATAGAGTTCATGGAGATTAATGCAAAGCTATGACATTAAATCCATACAATCAGATGTTCACCTTATTGGGTGTTAACCCTATTTAAAAACATATTACAGGTAAGGCTGATGGCACAGCCTATTGTTAAAGTTGCCTGACATGTCCAATTATAAGACCTTGCTTTCAGTTGCTTATTACTTGGCTAAACTTAAATCTTGTGGGTTGACATTTTACATGCCAGGTGTATACCTCAGCTGATTTTTTGGGGGCAAATTTTAGCCAGCATAGTTCAGCTGTTTTCAGGCTGCTACATGTGACTTGCCTGAGCAGTCATCATCCACACAGAACAGCTAAGCATGCTCCCTCCAGAGGTGAAGACAGACTTCTGGCATTTCCTAACTTTTGCATGCTTGCCTTTGCAACTGTAATAACATTATTTTTAATGTAGTTTTTGTATGTGTAATAATAGAATAGATTTTAAACACAGAAAGTTTATATTCTGTTTCAAACAGATGCAATTCACATGGTGAATCTTAATATATCACCTATCCAGTTTGTAATTACATGCTTATTTAAAGTCCCAGTTTTATTTTTTTTTTAATAGAGATATCCTATCACCTAGAACTGGAAGGGACCTTAAAAGGTCATTGAGTCCAGCCCCCTGCCTTCACTAGCAGGACCAAGTACTGATTTTGCCCCAGATCCCTAAGTGGCCCCCTCAAGGATTGAACTCACAGCCCTGGGTTTAGGAGGCCCATGCTCAAACCACTGAGCTATCCCTCCCCCATCACATCTAAATGCTTAAAGTTAAGCAGATACTTAAGTTCCACTAAAGCCAATGGGACCTAAGCACATAATTAAGTGCTTTCTTGACTAGGAATGGACTTAAACATGTGTTCAAATGCTTTCCTACATTGACTTAGAGCCTCAGACACCAATATTTCTTTAATTGAATTTTCTCTTGAACCTTCCTCAAAGAATGCCATGCAGCTATTTTTTGCCCTTAAAAAAATCAGAGTAAAATTCTCAGTTTTACATATATTTACCTTATCAAAATAAAACAGTTTAGTGTTTCATATAAACAACGGATGATGGGCAAAGTAACGATACCTAATTCATTATTACAAGTGAAAAGCTGACTTTGTAATTCACATTAAAATGAGTGTGTTGGTCTTATTTTACCACTCAGTAAAATCTTACAAATAAATTAACACTCATGTACAGTGGAACCCTGGGACAGTTCCACTGGTTTGAAAGAGTCTATTCTAAACATAGAGACTATCTCTGGAAGTTTACACTCATCAAGTGTAGAACAGGAATGACAGGCATTTTGTACATGTTTTTAATAAATATCCTGGCATATATGATGCTAGATTTCAAGTATATAGACAACACAGGAAAGCTATGAATAAGGTTACACTCATGTCTCAGAGTTTATCTACGTGAGGTTTGATCTCACAGGAGTTATATACTGAAAAACCTGAAGAAGTGGTAAGATCACGTGGAAAACTGCATGAAAGACCCGGTGTTAATTATCCGTTAAATCTTTGTTTTGAAATGTCCCTAACAAGATGGTAAATATGTCGTGAAACTAACAAAAAGTGCTGCTCAGCCACACCTGTATAAACTTCAAGCATTGCCATCCTCCCTCCTAACCTTTACTCACAACCACCGGACAGTCAAGTGCATCTAAACTTGACCTCATCAACACTTTGGATTCTGTGAAATAGACACCAAAATGATCATCAACAATATGATTCTGCAAATTGCCCCATTAATGTTTCAAGTCTGCATGTTGCAGTAATCTTACCTTTGTCTGTGGGTTTTAAAACAGTGGTTTATATTATATCACTTGTGAAATCCTGGGCACTATGAATATCTCTATAAATCAAGGTCAAAAGTTTCTCTTAACTGTGTACAGTGGGTCCTGTGACATGCTGTTCCAAAGCGAGTGATTCACACTATGTCCTATACTGTGTTCGTCTACTTCATCTGAGGCATGCACAAAGAAAGTTCAGCTTATCATGGGAACGTTTGCATTGTGATACTGAGCATGATCATTGCTGTACAGTGCCTGCATTAAAAATGAGGCATTTTATGTGTGATACCACAGTTTCCCCCTATATTCAGAAAAGAGTATGACTGGTAATTGTGCAGTGCTGTGTGGCCCCTGCTGGCAAATGTGATCCTTTTACTGATGACCACTGGGTCTCTCATTTGCTTCATTGTGATTATAATCCCAGCCTGTAGATGTTCTATGAGTAGGAATAGATGGGCTGCAGTATGCCTATGTTGAGAGAGAACCGTTTGTATTGAGCACTAGAGCAGAGCATGGCTAAGATAGGTATAAGGTGGTAATGAGCAACAATATTTACACTAGATACCATGGCGCTGAGTATCATACAAATGCTGAAAATGGTTTACAATCTATCACAATATATATATGTGTTACCTTGGATACAAGGCTTGCTCTGTATGCAGCTAACTGCTTCAAATATTCCTTCTTAGCAGCTTCAGTTTTCTTTTTGTATACCTATAAAACAACAAAGATCATTAGTAAAGAATCTGTTTCTATATGCAATTCTAATTGATATAATCAATCTGTTTCATGGATTTTCAGAACATCCTTCTAATTAAACAGCTATTCCTATTTCTCCAGGTTTTTTAGGAGAGAAAGAGTAAGTAAAACACCAAGCATTTTCAAAAATATCGCTCACAGTAAAAGAGCTCCTTTGCCTACAGAGTGATCCTGATATGTCTGACTGAACTGAGGACATTACGATTGGTATGATAGCTTCAATTGACAAAGAGAGGTTAAATTCAGGGTATCATTCCAAACTGGACCAGTGAGGGGTGCTCTTCATTGTGGCTCCCATCTGGCAGACCAGCTGAACTTATCTGGGAAATAGGAGAGTGGGTGGGTCCAGGCCTGCTGAGTTGGGAGGGAAAAAGGAAGAAGTGAGATGCAGAGGACAGGGAGGGGTTGGGGAGATATCAGTGCCCTTCAGCATGACTGAGAGACTTTTTTCCATTATTAGGTAAACTGTTGGACAGTCAGAGAATCCCAGTCCAAAGGAGGTCAGAGGCAAATCAAGGCTCAGGCGAGCTCTGTGCAGAAAGGAGAAGTTAAGGAGCCATGAAAAGAAGTTAGTGTAAATCACTGTTCCAATCTTGCGCTTGCAAAGTTCTGCTGAGCTCTTCAAGAGAGTGTACTTTTTCTGGTATATTCCTCTCAATCCACTGTTCTGCCTACAGTGTAACTAACACAAGCAAGTATGCTCCACACAATAGCTTACAGAGTTATATAATTCAGTTCAAATTTCCCCAGACTTCAGAACTGAAGGTTATTTGCAGGGATTGGCAGGACACCCAGGCAAAATGACAATTGGAGCATTAAAAATATAGATAGATACTTGGGAGCTCGGCACCTGTACAGGGGGTGCACAACCCTCTCAGCTACGAAGGCAAGCCCCCATAGAGGCTAATTTCTTGCCAATGTACATGCTGGGAATGGGTTTTGAGACAACCTAAAAGAGACTTGCACTGTTACTAAACCTGCACCCAGTCTCTGATTAGTTGGGCTATGCACTCAAAGTGCAGCGGATGGCAAAAGCAACTTAAAACAACTTTGAGATGTCCTCATAAATTCTGCAGGTGAGAAGTACACACACATACACACATTTCCTTTGCAGTAAGGTAAACTTTATGAAACTTTAAATTGATCTCTTTTGATCCTCTTATTCTACAGTAAAGCCAGAGCATTCTCATAATGGAGAATACCTGGAAGCTGCAAACTGTACATACTCCGGATAATACAATTCCAAAATACAAAATCAGAGCAACAGTACTGGGCCAGAAGGATCTGGTGCTACATCATTTATAGAAAGAATATTCTTGTGAAATGTCTTTTATTTCAGTGAAGCTTTGTTTTCAGAGAAAGAACAATCCTCTGATCTAGGTTGGGAAAACTCAGAGGTTGCCTAACAGATTAAAGATTTTGCTTCCCAGGGAAGCATAAAATCATAATGGAAAAAGAGGATACCAAAATTGTAAATATCTAGACAGAGAGAAAAAAGATTGTTTTTAGCTGTGCAACTGTGTGTGTGCACTCTTGTAATTTCTTCAGATTAGGATAAATATATGGCATATGCTGAGCTCATATTGTTTTTCAAAGAACTGGCAACAAGTTGCTTTTTAAATTGTGATTGTTTGCAGTTATAGGGCAAATGTATTGTTTTTTTCAGAAAACAAAATGAGAATTAGTTGACAATCTGTTCCCACCTGCTAAAACGAATTAGCATGACCTACAGAACTAAGACGAATTCAAATTATACTGTACATTTGAATACAGCTGCATCATTTTGCTATCCAGATTTTAAAACCACAACTGAGCATAATAACATCACATATATAGAGTCAAGATCTTTAAAAGATCATGTAGGTTTTTTTCTGATATTGCAGTCCTGCTTCAATAGATCAGAAGTCTTATTTTGCATTATATGAATATCAACATTTTATGCAGTGTAGTTGTAGCCATGTTGGTCCCAGGATATTAGAAAGACAAGATGGGTGAGCTAATATCTTTTTTTTGGACCAACTTCTGTCCATACAGAGCCAACTTCTGAGCCACAGAGCTCTTCTCCTTTTCCAGATCTGAAGAAGAGCTCAAAAGCTTGTCTCTCTCACCAACAGAAGTTGGTCCAATAAAAGATATCACCTCACCAACCTTGTTTCTCTAATATCAAAATTTTAAGCAGGTCTACTGTGCATTTATAGTCAAAGCATATGGAAAAGGTTCTCAAAGAGATGGATTTCCCCCTCCCCCTTTTCAAATTGTGGTATTCAACAAAGCAATCTCATTTTATAGCATAAACCTAACAAAAGTTCTGTAAATCTTGTACCCAAACATCACTACTGCATATTCACTTAATTATATAGTATTCATTTAATTATTTCCCAACTATCCAGCCATACTATTCAGCATTAACCATATACATCATTTTTCATATCTACTTTTCTCAGGCATTCTCTCAACCTGGTAATAGCAGTATAAATCCAAATTAGCACTATTTTTTTTAACTGACCCTGATACAGGATGTCACCATGAGTGCTGTGGCACACAACCCTTTATGTGTTATTCAGAGGCAGATTTACGTCCTTGGGTTTCTCACTCTGTTTTTTTGTATCTTTCTCAGTGTTTTTTGGGGGAAATCCCATTCCAGCTGATTTGCATGTAGTGCAGTTCTATGGTGCAAGGGGTATTTGTTATGGTTCTTGGGCATGATGGCTTGGGCTCTTACAAATTTTTTTTTGGTCTTCTTCAAGAATCCTAATATTTAGGCTATTTGTTAGGGGGTGGGTGATCCTGACGGTTGCAGTTCAGGGCAACTGCACCAGTATTTCCCCTCAGTGATCCTGCCAAGGGCACCCGCTCTCAGGCTTCTGGCTCACCAGCTGTTGCCTTTCTTGGGGGGAGACCCACTCATTCCCTTCTGACCAGGATATTTCCAGGCACAGTTCCCTGCCTTCATTGTATTAGCCTCTGCAAAAGACAGTCTGTCTGAGCAGGCTGGCTTGCTTTCCCTTCAGAGACGGCTAACAGTGTGAGTGCCCATAGTTATATTTACCACACAGATATTTTAATGCAAGCCAATTTCGTTCTTAACGTAAAAGCAGTAGAGAGGAAACATACTAAAAACAATAAAAGAACCTACACGCATGCTAATAAGCTTACCAGAAATCACCCTAACCCTAACATGGCCTCTGGCTAGAGCAGTCCTTCAACACCTTATCCAAGGTAACCTCTTTGTGATTTCAAGTTCATCCCAACTTCAGCTCGGAACAAGCACACAGTCTTATGGGGCCTCAGTAGGTCTAGTTCTTCCAATCCTCTGAGGACTGGGGCCCTTGTGGACCAGGTGTCCTGCCCATTTGGTGGATCAGCAAGAAGGCCCTGAGTCTGTTTAAAACCAGGCTATTTATCCAAAAATCCTTTCTTTGTCCATTGGTCCCTGGATAATCCAGTTTGAATTTGTATATGTGAGCCTCTCCAGGGAGATGGCTTTAAAGGCTGATAATCAGAGGAATTAGAGTAGCCTCCCCTGCCTACTAGAGAAGTTACATACAATAACACATACACAATTATGTTTTTAATACAATGGATCCTAAATGTATTAATCCTAATTCAATACGGTTTAATTTAAATCAAAAGTTTATTTTAATTTCATAAGGTTTGTTCAGCATATTGCGGGATATTGTCAGTCTGTCCCACTGACATTGGTTGTTGAAATACTGATTGCTGATAGCTGCAACACAGGTAGGGTTGGGGTGGACAGGGTAGGCTGAGAGTTGGCTGGTATCATGAGTAATGATAAGATTTAGTGTGTAGGACATTTTTCTAGTTAGAGAACGTAGATGACACTGGTAGCTGGTGCCAACACATAGTCCTGGGTTTTGGCCTGGGCTCGCATATGGAATTTGAGCAGATGGGGAGACTAGGTGGGTGGCACTAGCAGTTCTAGCGTTATGTGCAACAGGTATAAGCAAGCCAAGGGCCCTTCCCATTCTGTTTTGGCAGCTGCCACAGCTTCTAGCCCTCAAGATTAAATACATAGTTGTAATAATTTAATAGACTTGATGCCTTACAGACATTTTAAATAGGCAAAAGGCTCATGTCATCATTCAAGTGTACCCGTGACAATGGTTTAAACTGTTTTGTGCATCTTAAGATAGTGAGGATTTCTGAAACACGGAAATACATTAAAAATTGTTCTCAGTCTGAGAAGGAGATTTCTGTTCTTTTGTTTAAGAGCAACAAACATTGTAGCTTAGTTATAACCTTATGTTGCCAAGATTTACGTTTATTTTTAACACCTCCAAAACCACTTATGAGTCTTATGTTCCCCTCTGAAACGAGTAAATACTGGTGAACAAGTAGTTTGGATGGCAGCACATTTTTATAGAACCTGGCCATTTCCCACTTGTTTTTTTAATTAATGTGATAATTAAATATAAATAGATTGGGTGAAACTCTGTTCCGACAGCTTCCTATTTCTGCTCCTGGCTTAAGTAGGGCCAGTGGGACAATCTGCAACTCTTGGGACTCTGCCAATTGGCCCTCAAGAGCAGATCCTCACACTGGGCGGGGCCTTTGTGGGTCCCAAGTAAGCAATTGTCAGCAGGCTGCCAGGTGGAGGGTTGGAGTGCAGTGGCTTCCATGAACCCAGCTATCCGAGGTTTGAGAGCCATGGGTCATGACATCATTTTCCCACCTCCAGGGGTTGCATTAAAAAATTATGGGACTTCAGAATATGGATTGGGGCCTTGTGGGTCAGAGCTATATCTTTAGGACAAGGCGTTGGCCTTCACATTTCTGGTTCCAGGGTGGTAGGTCAAGTAAAGTTTAACTGAGAGAAGAATAGGGCGTACTGGAACTGTTGTTGCTTTAGGACGCTGACCCCACACAGTTACTCAAGGTTCTTGTGATCGGTAAACACCTGGACCAGACGATGGGCCCTTCCAAGTAGTGTTGCC